TCTTCATACTATCCTCCACAGGCCTGTTGTTTTACTCCCTCTGCCTGGAAGCACCAGCCAAAATCTCATCCACTCTCCTCTTTCATGAATTTTCCGTGACTGTTGTGGCCCATATTAACTTTGAACTCACAGTTAATATGTATTTTGTTACCTAACACTTCATTATATACTCTCTTTAAAACACTTTAAACGGGAACTTCCCTGGTGACACAGTGGTTAAGAATCCACCTGCCAATGCAGGGGACACAGGTTCAAGCCCTGGTCTGGGAAGATCCCACAAGCCACAGAGCAACTAAGCCCATATGCCACAGCTACTGAGCCCACATGCCACAACTACTGAAGCCTGCGCGCCTAGAGCCCATGCTCCACAACAGGAGAAGCCACTGCAATAAGGAGCCCGCACACTGCAACGAAGAGTAGCCCCCACTCCCCGCAACTAGAGAAAGCCCGTGCACGGCAACGAAGACCCAATGCAGCCAAAAATAAATAAATAAAATAGATACAACATTAAAGAAATAAAAAATGTTTTCAAAACATTGAGCAAAGGACTTGAATAAACATTTTTCCAAAGAAGACATACAAATGACCAACAGGTACATGAAAAGGTGCTCAATATCAATAATCATCAAAGAAATGCAAATCAAACCATAATGAGATTATCACCTCACACCCGTTAGAATGGCTGTCATCAAAAAGACAAGACATAAAAAAAAAAAAAGACAAGACATAACAAATGCTGATAAGGATATGGAAAAAAAAGGAACGCCTGTATTCTGCTGGTGGAAATGTAAATTGGTACAGCCACTTTGGAAAACAGTATGGAGGTTCCTCAAAATCTTGAAAATAGAACTACTATATCCAGCAATCCCACTCCTGGTATTTATCCAAAGGAAATGATATCTCTATCCCAGAGAGATATCTGCACTTCTATGTTCTCTGCAGCATTATTTACAACAAGCAAAACACTGAAACAAGTGTCCACTGACAGATGAATGGATAAAGAAAACATGATATTATATATATATATATATACACACACATATATAATGGAATAGTATTTAACCATAAAAAAGGAGGAAATCTTGTCATCTGCAACAACATGGATGAACACTGAGGGCATTATGCTAAGAGAAACAAGTCAAACATAAAAAGACAAATATGTACGATCTCCCTTGTATGTTATAATCTTTAAAAAGCTGAACTCATGGAAATAGAGAGTAGGTTGGTTGTTGCCAGGGGCAAGGGATGGGGGGGAATAGGTGAAAGTGGTCAAATGGTACAAACTTTCAGTTATAGGGTGAATAAGTTCTGGGGATCTAATTACAGAATGGTGACTACAGTTAACAATACTGTATTATATACTTGAAAGCTGCTAAATGAGTAGATCTTAAAAGTTCTTACCACAAAGAAAAAAAACAAAACATAGCTATGTGAGGTGATGGATGTGTTAACCAACCTTATTGTGATAACAATTTTGCAATATATACATATATCAAATCAGCACGTTGTACACCTTAAACATATATGTTATATGGCAATTGAATCTCAATAACATGGGGTGGGGGGAGATTTTTCTCTTTATCACTGGTTTTCAACCATTTAATCATGATGTGGCTTGGTATGATTTTGTATTTATCCTACTTGTGGTCTGTTGGATCTGTGAATCTAGAGTTTTTATCATTTTTTAAAACTTTTAACCATTATTTCTTCAAATGTTTCCTCTGTCCCTCTCCCCTTGTCCCAGGACTCCAACTATATATATAATATACCACTTACGATTATCCCACAAGTCACCGAGACTCTGTTTAATTTTTTAGCCTTTTATTTTCCCTGTGCTTTAGTTTGCATGGTTTCTATTGCTAGGTCTTCAAGTTCACTGATCTGTTCTTCTGCATTGTCTAATATGTTATTAAGCCCAGCCAGTGAATTGTTCATTTTCTGAATATTGTATTTTCCATCTCTATAAGTTTCACCTAATTTTTTTCATATCTATTTCTCTCCTCATTATGTTAACTTTTTCCCTTAAATCATTGAGCATCGTTACAGTAGCTTTTTAAACATAATTTTGTGCTAATTCATCATCTCTGTTATTTCTGGGTCTGTTTATATTGACTTTGCTCCTACTGATTTTTTTACTTCTTTGCATGCCTAGTAATTTTTAATTGGATGTTGAACAATGTGAATATTATACTTTTGAGTGTCTAGATTGTATTGTATTCCTTTAAAGGATGTTCAATTTTGTTTGGAAGTTATGTGTAGATCAGTACCACCTCCACATACCATCATATTGGGGAATTGACCCTCAACATTGGAATTTTGGACACAAGCATTCAATTCCTAGCAGAAGGGAAGAAAAAACTGAGCTCATTGTAGCCATCTGCTATTTTGGTTTTATCCTTCTTCTTCCTCTGCCTGAAACCTGAAGCTCTATGCCAGTTTTTATCAATCTTTCCATTCCCCAATCCTACTAACAACTACACATGAGTGCATACACACACACACACACACACACACACACACACACACATTGCGTGCATACACAGCCAAGTCACAGCAATTGCTCTTTTTAAACTAGAGTGACCACCTACATCATGGCTTTCTTAATTTATGATCCTTTAATTTGTGATCCTAATGAAAGCCAGCCAGCCAGTCACTTTCAAAAACCTAATATGCCTAATGAGAATTAAAATCAGGTGCAAATCTCTTGTTCACAACAGGTTTGCCACCAGGACATAGGTCTCATGAAAGCCATCACTAAATCTAAGCCAAAATGGGAAAGGAAAATATTCATATCAACACCATTGTTGGGACTTCCCTGGTGGCGCAGTGGTTAAGAATCCACCTGCCAATGCAGGGGACACAGGTTCAAGCCCTGGCCCGGGAAGATGCCACATGCCACAGAGCAACTAAGCCCAAGAGTTACAACTACTAAGCCTGCGCTCTAGAGCCTGCGTGCCACAACTACTGAGCCCACGTGCCACAACTACTGAAGCCCACATGCCTAGAGCCCGTGCTCTGCAACAAGAGAAGCCACTGCAATGAGAAGCCCGCACACCAAAATGAAGAGTAGCCCCCGCGCACAGCACTGAAGACCCAACGCAGCCAAAAATAAAAATAAATAATAAAATTTAAAAAAAAAGAAAAGCTTAATGAAGGGGAAAAAGTACAAAAGATAGGAGGCTTGTTCCCTGCCTCTAGAAATGTACCATCTAAAAGGAAAAATAGGACCAATTCCCATGAAAAGGCAATAAAAACACACAGAAATATCAGAAATAAGTGCAAACTAATATAAGCAGACCTCAGTTAGCTTTAGTGGTAAGGAAATGCTCTTTTCCCAAGCACAAAAAACTATTCACATAACATTAAAATTTATTTCAGTTATCTACTGCCAGACAACAAAGTACTCCAAAATTCAGTGGCTTAAAACCACAATCATTTTACTTGCTTGTATTTTGCAACTTGGGCAGAGCTAAGCAGAGAAAACAGCCTATCTCTGCTCCACATAGAGTCACCCAAAGTAACTACAGTAGAGGCTGAAGAATCCACTTCCATGATGGCCTTCTTCACATGGCTGGAGAGCTGGTGGTGACTGTTGGCTGGGAGCTCAACAGGAGCTGTTAGCCAAGGCCTCAGTGCTCCTCCGTGTGGTTAGGTTGGGCGTTTCACAGCATGGAAGTTTGAGAAGTCAAACTTCCAACACAGTGGCATCTCCCTGAATGCAAAAGTATTGTCTTCTTAAGGCATAGGCCTAAAATGAATTCTAAGGATTAAAGCAAGTCATAGGCCAGCCCAGATTCAAGAGGAGGGAACTATCAGGGGTGCAAAACTGAGAGGAATGATTCATTTGGGGCCACCAAAGTAACAGTCTACCATATGATAGGTTGTTTGGGTTTTGGTTTTTTTGCCAAGTGTTCTGTAGCTGTATATTTGTCATTACTTCTAACTGTATTGATTTTTCAAAGTAATCTTTAAAAAGCTTGTTTACAATGGTGTCCAATATATATGATTAATAGGTCATACCCCTAATTACCACTAAATCTGTATTATATTTCTTTGCCTTCTGTTTTTACCATTCCTGTCCGATACATTTATAACCAGCCCAAACTAGCAGTGATTGAAATCGTTTCAAGCTATTGTATCTTTCCCAAACTATACTTTGCTATTTCAAAAGCATTCTGTAGTTTGAGTCTTCGTAGGGGTTCAAACATACTCAACTCCCACCTTTCTTACTTCTTTTTTCTTTGGAGGAGGGGAACTTCACCTCATGTATCTCTAGAAATGCTATCAGTTTCAAGAACCCAAGCAACAGAGACCTACCAGTCTAGACAAAAAAGACCTTCAATTATCTTACACAACAAAATCTGGAGATAGGTGTTTCCAAGCCTGCTGCAGCAGCTCAATGACATCATCAAGTATTCAGGGGTTTTCTATCTTTCCATACAACCATCTTCAGCATGTTAGCTTTTTTTTTTTAACTTCTTATTTTATATTGGAGTATAGTTGATTAACAATATTTTTAGTTTCAGGTGTACAGCAAAGTGATTCAGTTATACATATACATTATACATGTATCTATTCTTTTTCAAATTCTTTTCCTATTTAGGCTGTTACATAATACTGAGCAGAATTCCCTGTGCTATACAAGTAGGTCTTTGTTGGTTATCCATTTGAAATATAGCAGTGCGTACACGTCAATCTCAAACTTCCTAATGATCCACCTTTCATCTTTAAAGATTTGTCCCCTCAATGTCACAAGATGCTCCTCAACCAACCCCTAAGGAAAGGGAAGGGGAAAGATGGAGCCTCCTCTTGAAGCTTTGTCTTTTTATCTGGAAGGAAAATATTTCCTAGAAGCTGCCTTCCCTCAATTCCTGTCAAACTCCAGACCACTCTCAAATTTCACTGGATCTGCGATTACAGTATTACCTAGCAACAAGAATCGAACGTCACTGGCCAGGATAACCCCACACCAAGGACAGCCAAGGTCGTCTAGAGGGTACCTTTTAGTTTAACAAGTCGCAGGAGAATCACGGATTTTAAAGACAAAGAAAACTTCCCAAATTTATGCAGTCTCTAACGAACGCCGGTGGTGATACGGCTCTGAACTTCAATCTCCCGAAAACACTCTCTGCGCGATCTTGTTAAGGTGGCCCTTTGCAGCTTCTTACCCACTTCAAATATGGTCGTCAAGCTCCAGTCTCCTTTACCTCCTGAGCGTGGAGACAGCTCTGGCTTCATGCCCATTTCCAAAAGGGCCTCCTCACGCGAGGCTGCGGTTCTGAGTGCGCAGACGCGAACGTAAGTCCTCTTCCTGGTAAGATGGCGCTGGGGTTGATGTGCGGACGCCGGGAGCTTCTGCGCCTGTTACGGCCCCAGCGTCAGGTAAGGATGCCCCGAAGCCGAGCGCCAGGATGCCACCCTATCCCTGTGACCCGAGCCAGGAATGACTTGTGCTGTGGGCATGAGAAGACGCTGATCTTCTCACCGGGACCTACGTCTCGTGACCTCGGGTCGCATGAGGCCGCGGGAGGGTTCCGTTCCCGACTCCGCGGGTTCAGCAGCCTAGTACGGTGGTCTGTTCCTGGGACCAAGCGTCACTCCTTCTAAGGAAACCTCAGCCTCAACCTCTGGGCCCCGGGGTGGGTCTGCAGTAGCTAAGATGCAGGACTCAAGCTTGCAAGCCTGCAGGGTCGCAGTCTGAGCGCGGGGAGTAGAATGTGCTCACCTGTGGTAGCTGGCTGCCTGTCTGGGCCGGGGGGGGGGGGGGGTGCGGGGGGAGACGGTGAGCATAATGAGCGACTTCACCCGGTAAAAGGATTCCATCTTCCTTTTACCCACTCAGTTCCACAGCGTCGCAGGGCCCTGCCAATGGCCCCGGAAAGCGCTGACAGCGGGGCTCCGGTTCCCAGCCGGCCGCTGCTGCGGGCACCCGCACTACGTCCTCCTCGCTGCCCCAGGCCCCCGGGGCCTCAGTACCTCTGCCATCTCTTTTGCAGAAGCCCAGGTAAGAGACGTTTCGTCCCTGCAGTGTTAGGAGTGGTGCTTCTTTCTGATTTGTTTTTATTTTGCTTTGACTAGGGGGAGGGGAATGTGGAGCAGAGTTTTTGTCCGCACTCCACCCAACTCGCGAAATGACAGCATCTCTGCTTGGGATAGATTTTCAAATCAGTGGGGAAATTATTGAAAGCACAGGAGGAAAGATTTACGTTATATACTAGGCGTTGTTTGCCAGAATGGTGGCAAGCCACTGATGGTGGTATGAGATGTGATTCTGTGTGTGTATTAGAAAAATTATAACTTGCATATCAAGTGTGGACAAAGAATGTCACCTGCTATATCAGTAAACAAAGGATGTTGCGGCCTTCAGCCACTGCAGCCACTGCAGCCACCCCCAACCGTGCACCCTGAGGGAATTCAGGATGGAGAAACAAAACTGGCCCTAGATAGTTAAGGTACAAATCAAAAGAATGATTTCAATAAGCCCAAAGTCTTGCGTCTTACCATACTTAGAAAAGCACTAGGGCTTCCCTGGTGGCGCAGTGGTTGAGAGTCCGCCTGCCGATGCAGGGGACATGGGTTCGTGCCCCGGTCCGGGAAGATCCCACATGCCGCGGAGCAGCTGGGCCCGTGAGCCGTGGCCGCTGAGCCTGCGCGTCCAGAGCCTGTGCTCCGCAACGGGAGAGGCCACAGCGGTGAAAGGCCCGCGTACTGCAAAAAAAAAAAAAAAAAAAAAAAAAACAGGTGGTCAAACACCAAAAAATTACTGCTAATTAAATAAAAACTAGATGTCTCAAGTTAATGAATTTAGTCCTTTTTTTTTTTTTTGCGGTACGCGGGCTTGAGGAACTTGAGCCTTGGTACCAGCAGAGGCCTCTTGTACCCATCTGCCTCCTCAGAGAGTCCAGACAAATTTTGGTGAGTCTCTCCTGGTTCTTGGATCTCCCATTTATTGTTTGATGATCCTGAGTTTTATTTGGCAGTGGCTAACAGGCACCTGGCTGCGCAGTTGAAAGATACTGGGAGTTACTCAGTTGAGACACTCTGAGTGGTCTGGACTGGGTGACTAGCTGAGAAGCTGGCCTAACCTTTTTTCAGAAAGCTAGCCTCCAATTAACACCCTGCCAGGTTTCTGTGCTTATATTTACAAGTAGGTACTTAATTGGGAATTAAAGGAGACCTTGCCCTGAAAATGGCCAATATGGACTCTTTTTATTTTATATGCAGTTAAGCTAGAGAAAGCCAGCTTGATAAAACATCTTTTTGGTATTCTGACCTTACAAAGAAACAAAAGCCCTTCTAGGGAACTTGCGTTTTTCTGTCTTTGAAATGTAAACGTTTTACCTGATCTTGCGTGCGTGCGTGTGTGTGTGTATGTGTGTGTTGTGTGTGCATGCGTGTGTGTGAAGTTGGTCTCTGCCATCCGGAAAGTACATATATGGTGTACGTTTGGCAGCCAGTTGAATAGACTGAGATTCTGAGCAGTCTTGTCTGACTGCGCCAGCTCTCAGGGACTTCAGTCATCTTAACCTTCGGTGCGTCAGCTTATATAACAAAGACCTTTAATTTCTTAGACTGTTTTTTAGGAGTAAACTTTCTAGATCTGTGAAGGCTACATCCTTTGCACTCTCTTGTGGGGATGCTTCTTGCATCTTATCGGTTTGAGTTGTAATTAAAATACCACCTATCAATAGCCATTGGATCCTTTAAATTGGAAAAACTTCTAAATTTTTAGAGAGCTGTCATTGTAAACAGCTGTTTTATTGGTACCTATAAAAAATAAATTAGAAGGTGGATACACACACACAATAGTTAACCTTAAAACTCCCTTTAATTTAAAAAAAAGGGTTTGGGAAACCTTATTTGTGGTCTCTGCTTCCCTTCAGAGGGTCTTACAGATGCAAAACATTGAAGATAATGTTAATGAGGCTGATTAACAGGGAGGTTAAAAAAAATGAAGAGAAAGTCTAGAGTCTTCTTCCCAACAAGGTGGAAATTTTAAAGGAACTCATCCCAAATGGATAAAGAAATCTTTAGATGGCTATTAAGAAATGAGATAAATAAAACGGATGTTAATAGGGTTAAAACAAAAGGTTTTGATACAACACTACCTGAGGTTGGATGGACCAATGTTATTGGTCCCCAACATTAAAGGGCCCCAAACGAGTCCACTCTTATTTACTTACTCCAGTGTAATGTGTGTGTGTGGGTGTGTGTGTATATATACTTTTTCCCCCCTTCTAAAGGCTATAAGAAACTTACACTGCGATACCTGACCAGCAATTGCTTGGGGCCACAGGCCAATTGATCAAGTTAAAAGATTGACAAAAGAGCCTGAGTCCCTTGGCTCAACCTCTTACTGGGGACCCCAGAGCCTTTTGTACAAAAATAGATTAAATGATTGGGATAAAAAGGAAGTTTCTGGACTCCTTTTAAGACCAGGGCTTGTTGATGGGATCCTAATGGAAACTAAAGTTAAAGATATAGAAGTTGATAGACTTGAGATAAAAATATTTAAATAGACTTTATGTAAGAGGGTTACATCTCTTTTGCCTAATTATATTGTAGGATAGATATTATGTCTCACTGGGAAATGCTTCCCCAGCCTGGAATTATAAGACAGGGCATATAAATCTGCTCCTCAGACAGTATTAATTAAGCATACTAAAGGAAACCAGTAGGGTTACCAGAGTCAGAACAAAACAAAGTAAAAACTGAGAGCTAATATTCCAGGGTTAATGAAAATAGTAATAGAGATTTGCTGTGGGTCTAACTGGTGCACTCAGAAAGGGGACCTTTGTTGAATGCCTTGTCCAAACTTTTGAAGACATGATAAATTGAACCCTAAGAACTCTTGGTTTTCAGTTTAGTCGGAAATCTCAGTGATATTAAAAAAACAAAGAAAATATAGTTGGGCAAATCAATCTTTTAGTATCATTTAGGCAACTAACCAGTTCTTTGGGGAATTAAAAGCAACTGTCTGTCTTGAAAATCTCTACAAATCAGAAATGTAAATTCAGCCCTCAAAGACCTGAGCCTGAGCCTAAGCCTAATTAGCTCAATCAGGTAAAACCTGAAACCAAAGAGGAAGGGCCTTTTAAAATTCAAACCAGTGGAAGGGTTCCCTCACCCAAAATCCAGTTCATACTCTCCTTAGGGTTTATCAAGGAGAAATACAAATCTTTTTTTTTAAACATCTTTATTGGAGTATAATTGCTTTACAATGGTGTGTTAGTTTGTGCTTTATAGCAAAGTGAATCAGTTATACATACACATATGTTCCCATATCTCTTCCCTCTTGCATCTCCCTTCCTCCCACCCCCCCATCCCACCCCTCTAGGTGGTCACAAAGCACGGAGCTGATCTCCCTGTGCTGTGCGGCTGCTTCCCACTAGCTAGCTATTTGACGTTTGGTAGTGTGTATATGTCCATGCCACTCTCTCACTTTGTCCCAGCTTACCCTTCCCCCTCCCCATATCCTCAAGTCCATTCTCTAGTAGGTCTGTGTCTTTATTCCCATCTTGCCCCTAGGTTCTTCATGACCTTTTTTTTTTTCCCTTAGATTCCATATATATGTGTTAGCATACAGTATTTGTTTTTTCTCTTTCTGACTGACTTCACTCTGTATGACAGACTCTGGGTCCATCCACCTCACTACAAATAACTCAATTTCGTTTCTTTTTATGGCTGAGTAATATCCCATTGTATATATGTGCCACATCTTCTTTATCCATTCATCCAATGATGGACACTTAGGTTGCTTCCATGTCCTGGCTATTGTAAGTAGAGCTGCAGTGAACATTGTGGTACATGACTCTTTTTGAATTATGGTTTTCTCAGGGTATATGCCCAGCAGTGGGACTGTTGGGTCGTATGGTAGTTCTATTTTTAGTTTTTTAAGGAACCTCCATACTGTTCTCCACAGTGGCTGTATCAATTTCTATTTCCACCAACAGTGCAAGAGTATTCCCTTTTCTCCACACCCTCTCCAGCATTTATCGTTTGTAGATTTTTTGATGATAGCCACTCTGACAGGTGTGAGATGATACCTCATTGTAGTTTTGATTTGCATTTCTCTAATGATTAATGATGTTGAGCATTCTTTCATGTGTTTGTTGGCAGTCTATATCTTCTTTGGAGAAATGTCTATTTAGGTCTTCAGCCCATTTTTGGATTGGCTTGTTTGTTTGTTTGTTTGATATTGAGCTGCTTGTAAATTTTGGAGATTAATCCTTTGTCAGTTGCTTCATTTGCAAATATTTTCTCCCATTCTGAGGGTTGTCTTTTGGTCTTGTTTATGGTTTCCTTTGCTGTGCAAAAGCTTTTAAGTTTCATTAGGTCCCATTTGTTTATTTTTGTTTTTATTTCCATTTCTCTAGGAGGTGGGTCAAAAAAGGTCTTGCTGTGATTTATGTCATAGAGAAATACAAATCTTAAGTCTTTTCCACAAATAGCAAAGCCTTAGTCTTCTGAGCAAATGAATTTAATTTATTCCAACTGTTATTTATAAACTAACAAGTTTATATTGTAATACCTGATTCATAGCTAAGTTTTTTAAGTGAAACTGTGAGATCTCTAGTTTTGTCTGTTTACGTGTGTGTAGACATTATACGTATGAGATGTCACTACCTCTGGGTATACACTCTAAATTTATAAAAGACCTCTATTTAATTGACTTAAAAGTAAGCGCTTACAAATTAAATATTTCTAAATATAAAGGAAACTGGCCGGAATGAATTTCAGGTTCATGTGATCTAGGAAATATTCAATATTAAATTAATGCCTGTTGTTAAAGCTAGTTTAAGCTTGCTGGTTTAATCAATATAGACATGTCTTTTATTGTACCTAGGTTTACTGAAGGTCAATAAGTTCATGTTATTTCTGTTGCAGAGTTAGTTGTCAGCAAGAAAAAAAAATTAACTTGGTGATATTTTCATAAGTTATAAAACCCACAAGCCACGGGGTGCAGCAAAAAAAAAAAAAAAGGTAAATGAGGTACGAGTTGTC